TGGGCAAGTGGGAAGGTTACATGGAGGACCCTGGTCTCCCACCAAGCTTGGCCTGGGTCCCTACTGACCCAGGTGCAGTGCTCTGCAGCCCATGGTGGTGAGCGATTGCTCTGGGCCCCTCCCATCATGGCACAGGCAGCCACTTGTCCTTACCAAGAGGACCCCATCCAGGCTTCCTATAAACGCAGTCTGCTCAGGGAAGTGACCCCATCCAGCCCAAGCACAGCAGGAATTTTCAGGGACCCCTCCCCAATCCTCATGACCTGGCACCTGGGCTCCTTAGCACAGATGGGAAGCCGGGAGGCAGGCGTTGGGGAGGGGGCAGGAACCTCTTGGGGTGCACTGGCATTCAGAGCTCTGCTTCTGTCCTGCGTCCAGCCTGGCTGGCCTGCCATGTGAAGCCCCAGAAAGCGTGCTGCCAGGCTGGCCCACAGTGGGCAGGGGACATGGGGGAGACTGCAGACTCCAGGAGCACTGCTTTGTGATGGGATGGTGTGATGATGGCAGACTTGGCCACCCCAGAAGAGCAAGGACCATAGGGATCCCCCGGAATCAAGAATGTGTCTCCCCACCAAGGAAGGACACCCACATTCAAGGCCGTGCTTAGACCCAGGGACAATAAGGCAAAGCAGGACCTGTACAGTGACGTGCCTGACATGGAATCTCTGGCCTGGGACCCTGTGCTTTTTTTTTTCCCCTTCCCAGTACCGAGGTCCAAATCTAAGGCCTTCCCACTGAGTCCTTTGTATTTTGAGATAGAATCTCACTAAGTCACTGATTTCCCCAGCCTGCACTTAAACTTGCAATCCTCCTGCCTAGGCCTCACACAGTGCTGGGACCACAGGTGTGTCCATATGCTTCTCCTCTCCTGGGCCATCAGCTGGCTTGGCAGTGGGTAGTGGGTCAGTCTAGCATTTATATCCACTGATGCAGATTCCCATAAGCCCACTTGAGGTTGGGGAGACCAGTGTGTCCTGGAGTGTGAGCACAATGTCACCTCCAATGCCACACCCAAGTGACCTAGGTCAACAACTGCACTGCGTCATGCCAGGAACTGTGGCTGTGAGGTGCGGGTGGACATGTGGTCACTCTACTCTGGCAGAACTGGCCCTAACTGGGCCATGCGGTTCCAGTGGAGCTGCCACCCAATTCCCAGGCCCAGATAGTCACACAGCCATGTCCCTAGCCTGGGGAGCAAGTCCTTTCCTGGATGCAAGTGACCAAGCTGAACGAGGTGGTCCGGCTCTTTCATGGGAACCCAGCCACAAGTGGGAAGAGGCAGCACACACAGCAGGAGGGCAGGCTACATAGGCAGGGGGACCCTCTGGCCAGCCGCAGGGCACTGACACAGTCCTTGGGTCCAGGGCCCAGCACTGCTACCAAGCGCAGTCCAGCTGAGCAAAGTCCAGTTGGTGACCATTAAACCCGGGGACCGTGCTGCACCAACTGCCAGTGTTCATGGGTCCCTGACACCTCTGCTTCTCAGAGTAGTGACCACTGCTCCAGCCATTGGCGACAGTCCTACCCTGAGTGTCTCTGGGCCCCTGAGTCCTCAGACATTATGGCAACACGTAGGGCAGGTCAAGGAGGCCCAATGAACCAGTGTCATCAAACAGTAGTGACAACTCGGTGCTGGGACCAGGGACAAACATGGAGTGGCCACAAACAAGGCAAGATGCAGAACAACATATGAATCGGGGCTCCTGCCTCACAGGCATGTGTGTGTGTAATGTTACTTCTGGCGGAAAAAAAAACACCCTGCCAGATGTTGCGGTACCTGCTGCAATGGGAGGCTACTTGGGAGGCTGAGGCAGGAAGATCACAAGCTCAAGCCAAACCTGGGCAATTTAGCAACTTGGTGAGACTGTCCCTTCTCAAAATAAAAACCTAAAAACTAAAAGATCTGGGGATGCAGCGCAGTAGAAGTGGCTGCCCACAGCCAGCCCAGGTGCCATGGGCACCGTGTGGATAGAGAGCTTCGGAGCAGTACGTCACCCTTCATTCTTTTTTTTTTTATTGGTACTGGGGATCGAACACACAACCATGCGCTTGCAAGGCAGGCGCTTATGTCGCTGAGCTAAATCCCCAGCCCCATTCTGTCTTTCTGGTCTTGAACTCAAGCAATCCCCCTGCCTCACCTTCCAGAGGAGCTGCCACCACGCCTGCCAGGATGCACATTTGACCTTACTGTTTTCCACAGACGTTTCTGGCTTCATTTTTCACAAGTGTGTCCCCTTTTGTAAATTTTAACACAAAAGGAAAGGCAGGAAGCCAAAAAGAGTGAGGATGACTCAGTGTTGGAGACGCAGTGCTAGAAGCCCTGGGGGAAGATGGGGAGGGATCTGTGGCCACACCTGCGTCCCAGCTAAAGAAGTGGTGGTGACAGTTCTGGTCATGAGAGAAGATCATGCTGGGGGACACTGCAGCCTGGCAGCCCCAAGCCCTTTGGGGACCGTTCTCACAATACCCGCTTCCCTGCTGGTCTCCTGGAGACTTGATTTCCTTGAGTGTGAAAATGAGGCGACCAGTGATACCAGCTGGATGGGTTACAGGCAGAGATGTGGGTGAGAGCAGGGTGGTGACACTCCAAAAGGACAGAGGCCTCCAGGCCATCTCCTGCTTGAGAGGGACCCCGACACTGCCCCTCCTTACTCAGTAACAGATGTCCTGTGAGTACCCAGGCACACTGCCATCCAGTGCAGACCTCACATTCCTCAACTTCCTTGTAGCTGTGTGCAGGCCTGGGACCAAATTTTGGCTAAGAGGTGAATTATAATGCCACACACAGCAGAAGAGCTGCATTTTCAGACCCTTCCTACTGGCTGGAATGCAGATGAAATGGCTGGATAGCCAAGTATGGTGGTGCTCACCTGTAGTCCAGGAGGCTGAGGCAGGAGGATCAGTTCAAACTCAGACTAGGAAATTCAGTTACCTCATGAGATCCTGTCTCAAAATAAAAGGGAGTTGGGACATAGCTCAGTACAAAGGCCCTGGGTTCAGTTCCCAGCATAGGGATGGGGGGAAGCAGCTATTTCAGATAGTGACAAGGAAGCCCCATTTAGAGAGACTCAGTATGGGACAGGAGCTAGGCTCCTGGTGATTTTGAAGCCACTGTACTTCTGGGACGTGACTGGAATTTCCATCTGATCCCAACAGATGTGTGGCATGGTACCTTAAACAGCTGTCCTGTCACCAGCCTGCCTGACCACTGCTCCTCTCCCATGCCCAGCCACTTCTGCTGGGACACCCCCTTTGAGAGTCCCCAGGGCACTGTGGCTTCAGAGCTTGTGACAGACCCTCTCCCGCGTGGCTTACACACCACTGCCCCAGGACTATCATTAATGCCAGCATAGGGCCCCTGCCCAGTGCTCACCATAGTGCCCCCAGCACCCAGCTTGTGGCCTGGGCATAAGCAGGTGCCCAGCAAGTCTTTGACAGTGAGTCTAGGGGTGGGAACTGAGCCCAGTTGCTCCCACCACACTCCTGCCCACTCCCAGATCCCTGCCATCCCCATAGTCAGCTTACACCATGCAAAGCCACCTCCCTATGAATGCTCACACTGAGGGCTCAGCTTGCCTCCAGTGTATTTACTGAGCCTGTAATTACAAGTGCAAGCTGGAGCACTAAGCCCACCTCCCCTCTCCCCTAACCCAACCAGCCACCATTCTGTCACAGTCACCAAAGGACAGGTGGGGAATCATGGTGCACAAGTGTGTGCACGCACCCACGAAGGTCCCCTAACTCCCTTATGGCAGAGGCCAGCTGTGTACACAGCCACACTATGCCAGAGCCCACATCCTTGGAGCACCTACCATCCCTGTTCACCCTGTTCTTTCCCCACCTTCCAGTCCTGCCTGCCCCTTCAAAGCTACCCCCAGTGCCACCTCTCTCACTTGTTCCCACTCTGCAGACTCCTCTTCTGGCCACATCATGGGCTTGGCATTGCCATTGTGCTGGGCCATAAACTTCTCCAAGTTGGACAGCATGCTGTCCTTGAGCCCACCAGGCACAGGAAGACCACCCCCAAAAGCCCTAGGGAATGAATAAATGCCCCACATCAGACACAGGGAAACCTATATTCATCTTGCTGAGACCAGCAAGCACCTAAAGAAAGCAGACTATCCAGGAGCAGCAGCATCCTTGGGGTGCATGTCAGCTGCCACTCGCCACTCACCCTGCTTTGTGACTCCACACTTAAAAGCCCCTCCTCTGTCATACAGCCCCCCAGGAGAAGCCTCTGAGAAGGGGCGCTAGGGTCCTTCAGGAGGGAGGGGCTCAGTTTGGCTCCACCCTACCCATGGGATCACCTTCTACACCGGCTACAGGTTGGCTCCCGGTACGTTGCACGGTGCCACTCACAAAACAGAAAGCCAGCACTTTCTGAGATGTCCATTTACACTTCACCCTGGCCTGCTCCATTGGGGCCAGATGCTGACTGCAGTGAGGGCACTGCGGGCTTACTTGGCCCCTGGTTTCTGCCTAGATTCAGCTGCGGGGGAGTCCCAATAGGCAGGAGGGAAGTGAGGCTGGTGCATGTCACCAGGCTTCTCCCTGCCAGGTCACAGCGTCCCCTCTCCAAGGTCACAGCTCTCAAGAGGGGTCTTTTCCTCAACCGCAGCTGCCCTTCAGGTCTAGGGTGGTGGCAGCGTCCCTCTGTCGCTGGCCCTGGGTACTGCATATCTCTCCTCTAATTCATGTATTTTCCATTTATTCTACTCGCCTCAAATGCCCCGTCTCAGGGTGCCATAAAAATGTAAGCCCGTGTCAATTGCCCATATCAAAAAACATTCTTGTATGGTCCACTTGGAGTCGTTTGGAGGGGGAACTAATGGAAACAAGGGGAGCCTGCACCCCAACCTCCACGTGGGGCCACTGCTGTTTGTGCCCCCAGGGCATCAGGGGAGGAGGTGTCAATGACGGGTTGCATCCATGAATAAACTCCCCCCACTACCCAACACCGGGACAGCATCTTCCTTCCTTCCTTCCCCCTTGCCGCTTCAGCCTCCGGGCCAAAACCGCTCGCCTCGCCGGGTACATTCGCCACGCCGACCCAACATCTCCAGGCCGGGACCACCGCGCTATTGGACACTCGTAAAGCCTGGGTGCCGCCCTCGGGGCCTTGGAGCGACAGGGAGGGGTCACGGCTCGAAGCTCACCGCGACGCGAGACCTGGTTAGTACTCGCGCGTCGCCGCCCAGGTTCGCTTCCCACCCGCCAGCGAGCGGCCGCGCCGCCCCACGTGGGGCAGCCGGGCATGCGTCCCTGGCGTGTGATTGGCCACCATGCAGCCAACCAGAGGGCTCACTTCACGACAGCAGCGCCGATTGGCCAAAGCACGCTGGCAGGGCGGGGGTGGGGCGCCCTTTTGTTCTCTGCGCTAGCGCCCTGCGCCCACCCGGGGCCCGGGGTCCCCCTGCGCGTTCCTCCCTGACTCCAACCCTGCTCACGCACGGCAGACAGGGCCAGCGGCTGCCTGGGCTGACCTTGGATCAGGCCTTATGTTCTCTGTCCCCAGTCTCCTGCCCTGGTTTCTCCCCGTCTCAGCAACTGTGGTGAGGAAGAGCTCCTAAAGGAAGACTGGCCAGGGAGTCTATTAGCAGCTAGTATTCAGAGAGAGCGGTGTTCTGGGTGTTCCCTGAGAGGGACTTGTTGGAGTTTACCCAGTAGGAGAGACAGACGGGGTGTCAGGGGTTTAGCCCCAATCCCAGGATTTAGGGTGAGCCTGTGCCTACCACTACAGGGCCTTTCTCCCCATGAGACTAGATGGGAATACGGCAGAAGCCCTCCTGCCTGGCCAGCTGTGCAAATGGTCCCTAAATCATCCCGTTCTTCAATCACTCTCATCAGTGGCAGTGGCCTCCCTCTACATGGATAGTGGTGGCCCCAGAAGCAAGGGGCCCTCACAGAGAGAGAGGGTTTTGGACTGGACTGAGTCAGGGCTTAGGCCTGGGGCTCCTGACCCCAAGGCCCACCATCTTCCCTGGAAGCTTCCTGAGAGACCTTCCCAGCCCAGCTGAGGTCCCTCAGGCACCTGCTGCAGAAAGGCCATAGTACCTGTGAATATGAACACAGGCACCAGGTCCCCAGACAGGTTCCTGCAGGTAGGGAATCAGGCCCTGGGAATCCTCGATCCCTTTCCCCAATATGGACAGACCTGGAAAAGCTCCCCAAGCCTAGGGTGGTGGAGCAGAGGCAGCCCTTCAACAGCCCAGGGCCTGATTCCCTGCCTGCCAAAATGGAGTCATCTCTAAGGTCAGCTTCCAGATCTGGGAGTCTGTAAGAGCAGCTCATCCCCGGAGAAAGCCAGGTTCAGATCCTATCTGCACCCTGAAGTCCTCTCTCGATGTCCGTGGGGCCAGACCTAAGGGCCTCCACCCTAGTACTCAGTCACCCACTCCAGCTCCCTGAAAGCATCGGGGGCCCAGGGTCTTGTCCACAGCCTGGTGCTTGTGGCTCCTGGAAGGACTCCCAGCCCCAGAGCTTCAGCAGGTGTCTTCAGCTCCCCAGGGATGAGCACCAAGAGGCTGGCATCTGCAGTGTTTTTACTGTTGAACAAATTGAACCAATTAAACAGGCCTCATTGGAGTGGCTGGGAGCTGGGTGGACACAGAAGGAGAGAGAGCAGAGCTGGGCAACATAGCTCAATCCCTCATGGTGTCCCCAGTTCTATGAAGACTCAGGTACACTCTTGTTCTCTACTGTGTAGGGGCAGGAGACCCTCTGTGCTGACAAGAGGCAGGGCAAGTTACTGGAGGAAGCTGGTGTGGGTGGGAACTGGGATAAGGTTGATTTACCTCTCCTGATACACACTCTGGTTGGTTCTGCCCAGAGGCAAGCACTTCTGGGTTTCTCAGCCTCCTGCCCTTTAATGCTTTGGGGCACTAGGGCTCCCCAAACACTAGAGCCTCCTTCTAAAGACATCTTGTGGCCATCACATGGAGGCCTCTGGAAGCTGGAAGACTGTCCAGGTAGAGGCTGGAAGAGTAGTGGAGGGGAAAGGAAGAGGGTGATATTCAAGGCCTGAGTCATCCAGCTGGAGCGGAAGTTTCCCCACTGGACAGGTGAGAATGATGGCCACCGTCTGGGAGCCCAAGCTGCTGCCTCCATGTCCCTCTGGCCCCAGCTGCCCCGCCCCTGACTCTAGGCACCACTGACAGCAAGACTACTTTGCAGGGCTTATGGGGGTCAGGGGGAGCTCCCCTCACTGACAAGTTGGCATTCCCTCACTGCCATTGACAAGTTGGCATCAGAGTGCCTTTGCTGTCACATGCCAGGATGTGCTCAGCATTACCTGCAGCAGCCAGACCATGTCTGGCCCTTGATGTCAGGTAATTGTTCTGAGCCACCAGAGGCACTGGGCATCTATCACCAAGTTCCCAAGGAGGACAGAGTGGCCATCAGGGACCATCATCAGCCCTCAGGAGCCTCAAAAAGGAGGCAGATTGGGCACAGACTGAGGTCAAGACTGGCTCAGGGTCTGGGAAAAAGCTGGGGGCCTGGGGTTGGAGGACACAGCTGACCGCCACTGCGAGGGGGCACAGCAGAGCTGCTGCATGGAGAGTGACAGTGGCTCTCTAGGTTTGGAAATGATCAGGAGCCCTCCCCCACCCTGCATGCACAGGCTTTTGGGTAGAGTGTTAAGGTGAGCAGGGAGGGGGAGGAACCCAGGAGGGATGCTGTGTGCCCCTGCTGAGCCCAGACACCCACAGGATGCAATCAGTCCCTGTTGGACTTGGCTCTGGCTGCCCACAGAGAAGGTGGCCACCAAAGCGGTGTACAGGTAAGCATGGAGGACTGGGATGAATGAACGGTGCTTATTTAGTCCGCCGGATCAGTTCTGTTTCACATCTGCAGCCTCCGGCCCTGGCCCTCATCCTACAAGACTGGTGTGATCTAGAAGATTAACCTCGATGCCCACTACCGGGACACTGCCACGGGAGTGGCGTCGGGTAGGAACAGTGCAGGGGCGCCCTCGAGCGGTCATGCCTGGGATGGCGGCTTCTCAGGACCCTGAGCTGGGGCTGAAGGGAAGGCAGGCAATCAGGGCCAGCCCTGGGACCCTTTGCAGCGGGCCTGGTGCTGCTGGTTGCATGGTAAGCAACTCAGGAACTTAAAATGGCGCTAATCTGGTGGAAACAGAAAAGCAAGATACATTTTGGGAGATTCCACGAGGGTCCCGAAAGGCTGGGGCTAGGGAAAGTTACTTGGCCAGGATGAAAGGCACTTGGGGAGCGTTGCATTAGGAATGTGCATCATGGGGGCTGGGGATTTAGCTCAGCGGCATATGCACCTGCCTTGCAAGCAGGCAGTCGTGAGTTCGATCCCCAGTACTGATAAAAAGGAAAAAAAAAAAAGAAAAAAGAAAGAAAGAAAAAGGATGTGCATCAGGAGCTGGGTCTTGTTATCCCCATCTTCCGCAGCTGCGTGTCCAACCTTCTGAGGGATGTCTGCTGCCCGAGGCTCAGCCGTGCAAGCAGTGCACTCACCTTGGAGGTCTGCTGCCCTGGCTCTCATAAGCAAGCAGCCCCTGGCCTACCCAAAAGTACTCAAGGCTTCTGGATCCCACCACACCCAGAAGGAAGATCACATGCGCTGCTTCCAGCATGATGGCTGTCGTCTCTAATAGCTGTGTTGAGATACAACACACACGCTACAAAATGCACTCCTTTGAAGTATGTGATTCAGTAGCCTAGAGATATTGCGTTCTTTTTAAAATTGCGGTAAGATGCATGTATATAAATTTTGCCATTTTAGCCATTTTTAAGTGCATAATCCAATGACATCAAGTACATTTGCAGTGAGCAACCATCACTCCCATCCAATCGCAGGACTCTGCTCATAGGCAACAACTTTCTGAAAATTCCTTTTCTCCCCAGAAACCTACCATCTACTTCTTTTTTGTACAGGGTCTTGAACCCACCCTTCATTCTGAACCACCCTTGCCCCATTTATTTTTTACTTCAAGCCAGGCGCTAAGTTGCTAGGTTGCCCAGGGGCCCTGCTTGAACTGCCTGCATTGCTCCGGGTGCAAGGGTTACAGGGGTGTGCCACCACACCTACTTCTGATGTGTTTCTTTGAATTCTCCTATTCTACATGTTTTGTGTAAGCAGAATTACGCAATATATTTCCTTTGTGGCTGGGTTATTGTACTCAGCATGGTGTTTTAAAAATGTCTGACACACGTTTCCTGTGTGTCAGAATCTCTCTCCTTTGCTAAGGCTGTTTCATATCTGCATTTGTTTATTCTTCTTCGGGGAGACAAGTGGGTTGTTCACACCTTTTTGCTCCTATGAACACTGGGAGAACCAGGATCCAAGGCACTGATGGAGGCCAAGGATTGGAACTGCTGTTGGGCCACTGAAGCCCAGCACTGTGCCAGGATTTTGGTTCCTCCACGGCTGGGCCAACATTTTTCTTCTGCCTTCATTATTGTTATGTGGCTTCAATGTTAAAGCAGTGATGTTTTCATTACAAGCAACATACTTACTGAACTAACAGATGAGAAAATCCAGAGAAGTGACCCCAAACTTTGGTAACTTGGGTGAGGTGTACTAGGAATTGAACACTGGGTCTTTCCACTGAGTTACATGCCCAGCCCTGTTTTAATATTTTATTTTGAAAAAGGGGTCTTGCTAGCTAAATCGCCCAGGCTGGACTCAAATTTTTCATCGTCCTGCCTCAGCCTACCGCGGTGCTGGAATGGCAGGCATGCTCCGTTGCATCGCCTGAGCCACACACAGGGTTTTGTGTCGTTCCACACCCTCACCCTCACCCCCGTGTACTGAGGCTGGCCTTAAACTCGCTTATGTAGCCCAGGCTGGCCTCAAACTCATGGCGATCCTCCTGCCTCAGCCTTCTGAGTGCTGAGATAACAGGCATGCACCTGCTGCCTGACTTACCACACGGTTTTTACAAGCAGGAGCTGGCTGGCTTTTCTAACCTGCAGGCGAGGGGAAAGCAGAGAAGGCAGGGGTCTCCCGGGATCCTGCAAGGCGCCCAGAGCAGGCAGAGACCACGAGCGTAGGGGTCCCGCGAAGGGGTGTGGGCGCGGCTTTCCCCTTCAGGGTCAGACCCGAGGACCGCAGGGTCACCCAAACAGCTGGATGCCGGGCACCACAGGGTAGCGAGATCTGCTTACCCTGAACGGCCGTCCCCTCTTGGTAGAGTGGCTGCAACTACTCGGCGCCCCAGCCCGCCTGGCCTCGGAACTCGCCCCAGCAGCCGTGCGCCGATTGGCCAAGAACAGGCCGCTCGGACCAATCACAGGGCGGCAGCAGAAGGCCTGAGGAGAGTGCTGCGCGTGGGGAACCCTGCGCGCTTGCGCACTGGGCCACGAACGCCCCCCTATGCCAGGGTCGGGATCCAAGCCACAGATGCTGTCCCTCCGCGGTGTCCTCGGCTCCGCCCGCCCTCCCTCTCGGCCTTCCTTCCGCCTCCCCCCCTTCCCCGGGTCAGCTTCTGCCCTTGAAGCCCAGGTGAGGCCCGGTCCGCTCTCCAGGGCCCCACCTCTTACCCAGCGGGGGCCGCAGTCCTGACCAGCACCGGAGCTGGAGCGCTTTGTTGGCCGTGAAGCGTCATTTTGTAAGACACTGAGTGCCTCCGTCCAGGGCAACGCAGACTCCACGAGGCCCTCACCGCCCTGGTACTTGACATCCACTGCTGCGGTCAACGCGCGACAAAGCACCCAGGTGCGGCCGCACGGTCCCTATCGCCCACGGGGTGTTCGGCGGAGACCTGCGCCCCAACCCACTCCACAGCTGTAGGCGAGCCTCTGAAGGGAAGAGCGTGGGACAAGGACAGTCAGCTCGGCCTGGGACAGAGCTCAGAAGCCAGGGCGCCTCCGACCCCGCCCCAGCACCAGGACGATCACCATGGGGTTGCAAAGGCCAGGGAGCCACCACCCTTCTTTGAAAGGTGCTCAGGCGCCTTGGATGTCTGATGTTCAGTGCCTTGGGCAGCCTTAAGGCCAGGGCCCTGTAGGAAGAACGGGCACTGCTCCATCCTCCAGGAAGGAGAGGGTCACCCCTTCTGTGCCCTGCCAGCTGGGTGGGGAAGTGCCTTGAAGAAGCGCCTCACCCCTTTGAGGACAAAGAACAGATGCAGGGCCAGCAGAACCACGGCCTCCTCCCATCCATCGTGCTCTGTCCCCTCCTGTTTTTTGGGGGCCTCACAGGGCTGTGTGACACCATCACTGGCCTGGACCTTGCCTGGAAGCCCCCGGACAGGCAAGTTGGAAACTCTAAACCCTGGAAAATGGGCAGAGGCAGGCAGACCATGGGGCTGGACTGGTAGACCAAGCGCTGGGCTTGAATAAACCTCGCTCATAGCTCTCTGGATACAGTGGGTCTGCTCACCTACTGGTATTGCTGTGCTGGAAAATGACAGCCTGTCCACCCAGCACCCAGACAGGACTCCTAGGAAGCCACAGACCCTGCCTGAGCTGGCCTCCCTGGGCTGCACCCCTCCCTGCTCTGGTACACCTTGCTCTGCTCACCCCAGGGCCTTTGCATTCCCTGCACTCCTCTGCTCAGTCGTGGCCCAGGTGTTGTCTTCCCAGAGGATTCCACTCTCCCTTTCCGCAGCACACTTTCAAGCTCCCCATCTTGCTGTCCCTCTCTGTCTCCCCCTCTTTGGTCTCCCTAACAGGTGACTAGTTTCTATTCTCTCCAGCTAGCTTCTGGATCCTTTCTGCCTTCTCTCTCTCTTGCTGTGTCATGTGTGGCTCTGAGAGGCTCTCTCTAGACATTTGCTGAGAGTGCGAGCCACATGGCTGGCACATAACTGTCAGCCCAGCAATCCGGGAGTCTGAGGCAGGAAAATTGCAAGTCTGAGCCCAGCCTGAGCAGCTGAGTGACCAGCAAGACCCTGTCGCAAGATAGAAAATAAAAAGGGGTCAGGATGTTACTCAGTGTGAAGGCCCCAAAGAACAAAGTGCTGATGACAAAGCAGAGGTAAAGCCATTTTTAAGATTCAGTCTGAATAATGTAGGGGGCCTCTCTGGTCAGGGTCACTGCGACATTTCCATTCCCAGCACAGGGCCTTTTTTTTTTTTTTTTTTTTTTTAACCAGAAGTTGAACTCAGAACCTTGCATTTGTGAGGCAGGCACCTATGCTGCTGAGCTAGATCCCCAGCCCCTAGGGCTTTTATTCTTGAGCGGGCCACCGGAGCACCTCAGTTTGGAAGGGACAAAGACTGGTATTTCACAGTCAGCCCAAACAAAGAAATGATTGCACCAGCCCTGCAAGACCAAAGCACTGCACAGTCCAGTGGCCATAATGTGCATTTTTCACCTGCCAAACCAAGGAACATTCAGTATCTGGGTGCCAATGCCAGGTATTTGTGGGGTGCTAAAAAGGTGCCCAAGGAGAGGACACAGCCCTCTGCAGTGCGATCTGACCCCTCTAGGCCACCCTGAACTTCTGCTAAGGAAGGGGCAAGAAGGCACAGCCAACGGACTCTGCTCACCCTGCTGGTCCAGGCTGGGACTCCAGACTGCTGAGCGCGGGCCAGGGCTGGGCCCCTGAGATGCCAGGCTGGAATGGCTACCGGTTCCTGTCTGCCCGTGCTCCTTGCCCCTTCTGTCCTGCCCCGTGCAGGTAGTACTCTAGATTCCTGAAGCAAGCTGAGAGAAGCCTGGCTGGCAGGGGTACCAGGTCTGTGGCCTCTGAGGAGGGGCCCCTCGGCTTCATGTGGCCTGCAGGAAGAGGGAGCCAAGGAAGCCTAGAATGCATGCTAAGGAGATCCCATACATCACAGCTCCGCCCGCCCCAGCCCTCCAAGTGGCTGCCTGGCTTTTTATATTGATGCTTTTAATATCTCTCTAAAAATGAGCAAGATTGTTTATTTGATTTCTGTGGGAGCTGTATGAGGCAGGGAGCTGACAAATGATCCCCTAATCCCCAGATGTCACAAGGCCCCTGAGTTGGGCTACGGGCCAACATCACTGCTCCACACAGTCTTGTTGCTGGCTCACTTGCCACAGTCCTAAACACCTGTTGGTTCAGAAGTCCATCCCATGCCTTCGATGACCAATCTATACTGCTGACCAGGTTGTAGTGTGGCTTGTGTTGACAGTACATTCCTTTGTTTGCTTCACCAGGACAGGCATGATCTGAGAGTGTCACAGAAAAGGATTTCTGTGTAGCAAATATGAGTATTTTGAGCAGAGGGAAATTAGGGGAAAGTAACTAATTCTCTGTCTATGCTGGAGGCTGTCTGGGCTCTTGGGGCCCTCCAGGAAGGAATCCTGAAGAGCCACATTCTCCTTCCTGGGTGTGACTGTCAGCACTGAGGCATCTGGGTAACGAAACTGGCTAATTAGAGGTTGAAACAAGCTTGAAGGCAGCCACACTGGCAGAGACACAGAAAGGCTACCACCTCGGGCAGCCAGTCTTCTGTGCCCCCGCCCTGGGGCATTCCTTCCCGATGACCAGCGTAGGCCTGTTGGGCCAGTGGAGCAGGCAGAGGTGGTATCTTTTCTGAGATTAGGTTCTGGAAGATACTGGAACTTCTATCTGGAAGTCTCTCATTTCTCCTCCTGTCAGTGGTCTCGGGACAGCTTGGCAGTGACTCCTCCCACCCTGATCAAAGCTTCAGATGCTGCACCTCCAGCCCCAGGCTGACCATAGCCTCATGGAGAAACCAAGGTATACCGGTCAGCTGTCCCATCGCTGTACAACACCTGACTGATGACATAAAGGGGAAGTCTAATGTGACTCAGGGTCTCAGGCAGTTCAGTCGGCTCTGAGGCAGGACCATCATGGTGGAAGGGTGCAGCTCATGGTGGCAGTGAAGCACAGCATGGGTGTAGTGTCAGAGGAAGGGGTGAGGGACCAGATACAGATCCCAGCATCTCCATGACCCGTGCGGACACAGCCCAGGATGTGCTCCACCAAAACACTGGGGCTTTTTTTTTTTTTTTTTTTTTTTTGTCTTTTTCCTTTTTAGCGGTACTGGGGATCGAACTCACGACTGCCTGCTTTACAAGGCAGGCGCTTATGCCACTGAGCTAAATCCCCAGCCCCAACACTGGGGCTTTCTAAGCCAAGTTAACACATCACAATTGACAGCCATTCCAGGCAAGCCACTTGCCCACCCTGACACTGCATGTGAGGTGACAAATGTTTGTTTTAACCCAGAGTCGTGGGGCCATTTGTTGCACAGCAGCAAAGAGCCCAAAGACCACTGGTGTTGGTCTGTATGTCATTATTGTCACGCAGTGTGTGATGCAGGCTTATCTCATAAGGAAAAGTTTTATTTAGCTCACTGTTTTGGAGGTGTGATGTATGACACAGCATCTGTTCTGCTCTCCTGAGGGCCCACATCACAGCAGGAGTGTCAGGGAGAAGTCACATGGCCCTGCAGGACCCTGGGGAGGCCTAGGTCCTGCAATCCCTTCATAGCACCTAGTGCCTTAAAGAGCTCCCATCAGGCTCGGCCCCTTCGAGGTCCATTGCCTCCCACCCCACACTGAGCACCATACCACGGACTACACCAAAACCACGGCAGCACCTCAGAACAGCTGCGATACAGGCATGCACCTGACAGAAGCTAGTTATAAAAACCAGGCAGAGGGCCAGACCTGCCAGGCAAGAGCAAAGTCATGAGTTTGATCCCTGGTACCCTACACCCCCCCCCCACCAACCAGGCAGAGGATGGAACAGAAGACCCCACAGTTACTGGGCTTTCTTTTCTTGACCCAGAACAGCACAGGAAGCCCTGTATCCGGGTCAGGAGCATGGGTGGAGCCGCCACATCTCGCATCCAGATCCTGTCTGCCTGGCCCGGGGTCCGCAGGTCCTCAATGCTGCTCCCACAGAGGTCAGCTGACATGTGCTCCTGCTGTCCCTCCTGCTGCCCAAAGAACTCGGGGCATCCTGGGTACCAGGTGCCACCCCGCACTCCACGTGGGGACTTCCTCCAGCACACAACAGAGAGTACACAGGGTTCAGGAATGTGCTCACCCCTGAGGGCACCCACGGACCAGCATTCCCCGGCTCACAGCGGTACTGCAGAACACGCTGCTCGGTGGGCACATGTAAGCCTCTTTGGCCTCTACTCCTAAGCGGAAAGTCGGGACGGGACAACAGAATTCCACAGGCTGAGTCACTGCGCACAGGCGGGAAAATGAGGCCCAGTAAAGGGGCAGAGCGGGGATTCACAGCCTACCATTTGATGTTCCCCTAGAAGAAAATCACCTGCTGGCTGGGGCTCCGTGTCCGGCCCTGTCCATGCTCCACCTTAGCGGAGGCGTCAGCCGGAGAACCAATCGCATCTGTGCCGCCTTCCCTGCAAAGTAATTGGCTAGGCTAGCTGGACCTTAACCAATCAGAACACAGTTCTCCCTGACCGCTGATCTGCTCAGAGCTCACAGCCTTTGGCTGCTCCCTAGCAGCTGGGGTTAAAGGTACAGGTCCAGCCACTGCTGTGGAGCCAGCATCAGCATAAAGCTGATAGCTGGGATGGATAAAGGTGAGGAAACTGAGAACAAACCCACACGGAGCCCTGCGATGGGGACGTGGCTCAGTGGAAGGTAGAGGTGTGTGCATGGGGCCCTAGGTATCAACCTCCAGCACCAGAAATTCAAATAATGTGGCACCCTGATCAAACGGTGTCCGATGCTAGCGGTTGTTTATATTAGGTCAGACAGTTGGCAAGGTGAGGCACGTGAGACTTAAGGCGGTGACATAAAAGATTCAGCGATCTGGCTAGGGATTTAGCCCAGCGGCATAAACGCCTACCTTGCAAGCAGGCAGTCGTGAGTTCGATCCCCGGTACCGATAAAAAAAGGAAAAAGACAAAAGAAAAAAAAAGCTTCAGCGATCTTAGGACCAGAAGCTGTTGTACTGAGCTTCGGGCTCTCCAGCAATGGAGAAGTGCCAGAGCAACCCCTAGCCGGGCACCCACTTCCAGCCCGCCTTTGAAAAGGGATCTCAGGGTCCTGGTGGCTGCAGTACCTACACTGTCCCCAAAGCGGACTTCCCTCCCTGTCCCTCCGGGGTTGGGTGATGAACCCCGTGTGATGGAAGAGTGGGAACAGCTGCGCCTCATCAGCAGCTGCATCGTTCATGTGTAGGTGCGCCCGGTGCACCGCAAGCAAATGGTGCAACACCCAAGTACCAGGAGATTCCAGTCCTGGGACCTGTTGTTCTCAGAGAACCAGATCTCCCAAGGTGGGGACTGTCCCAGTCAAGCACCAGGCTCTTTCTCCTTTCTGCTGCAACATCCCTGGCAGGCAGGCTTCTCGCCTCCTGACTTGCAGAGTGGCTGCTGGAGCGCCAAAAGTCACATACACCTCCACAGTCAAAACGCACAGAAAAGACAAAGAAGCCATCCCTGTCTGTCACCACTTGACGCCCTGGGCCTTGGCTAACAAGAAGGTATCACCAGATGCCTTCTGGACCAGAATTATGAGCCAAAATAACCTATTTACAAAAAAAGAAAGAAAAGAAGTGGGAAAGCAGAGAAACAGAAGGACACAGCCAACCACATGTGCCTCCTCTATGGGGAAAGGCAAGACTTCCCGGGAGCCAGGGAAGCAGATCCCGGCCCAGCTGCCCAACCGTGCTGCGAGGCATCTGAGGCGGCAGACCTTGGTGTTCCTGGCGACTTTAGCCAGCCTTACTCTGTTCTGAGGTGTGGTAGCCTCAGCAAGTGTGCCGCCTTGAGCTGGGCATTGTGGTGCACACCTATAATGCCAGCACTCGATAAGCTGAGACAGGAAAATCACAGTGAGTGCCTGAGTTCCATAGTGAGCTCAAAGCCATGCTGGACTACATAATGAGACCCTGTCTCAAAAAAAAAGCACTAAAGATTGATTCGACATCAATTGTCTCAAATTGTAGATTAATTTAATTAGTCCTAATCACAGTCCCAAAACACTTTTGTTTGTAAAAAAAATTGGGGCTGGGGATTTAGCTCAGCGGCATAAGTGCCTGCCTTGCAAGCAGGCAGTCGTGAGTTCGATCCCTGGTACCGATAAAAACAAAAAAGACAAAAAAAAAAGAATCAGTCTTACACAGAACACAAAGGCCTTAGAAAAGCTGCAAGCAGGTTCACTCGCCCAATGGAGGGACTGCATGTGACACCAGTGTGGTCTCAGTGGGAGGACAAAAGTCAGAGAGCAAGAGCACAGAGGCCAAAAACAGACCAACAGGTATTTAGCTCTTACTATTTTTTATTTGTTTGTTTTGTTTTTTTAAGACAGGGTCTCACTATGCAATTCAGGCTGACCTTGAACTCACTATGTAGCCCAGGCTGGCCTTAAACTCAACGCCATCCTCCTTCAACTTGATTTTATTTTTTCGCTCTTTTCTTGTCTTTTTGAGATAGAACTGCTGTGCAGTTCAGGCTGGGCTTGAACTCACTTCACAGCCCAGAATGGTCTCAAACTTGCAACAGTCTTCTTGCCTCAGCCTCCCAAGTGTGGAATTATAGATATACGCCACCACGCCCAGCAGTGCTATTTTCAAAAATATTGCCACACTGTTCCTTAAAATTACTCTGCCTTAGAGGATCATTGTGAGTTTGAGACCAATCTGGCCTACAAAGGGAGTTCAAGGCCAGCCTGAACTGCACAGCAAGACTTTGTCTCAAAACATACAAAAACAAAAAAATTACCCTGCTTAGCATTGCTTCTTTGAGATGAACCTGGGATGGAACCCAGGGTCTTCTTACTCTACTCAGCCCTGATTGGTTGGTCATGACAAAATTGCCAAGGTAATTGGATCTAAAGATTCTTCAACCAATCATGTTAGAACGCCTGGATTTCTGTTGGAGAAGTAAACATACAAAATTGTACCTCACATTCATTAATGTTAAATGAATTTCAAATCTAAGTGAAAAAAGAAACAATCTCTGAAAAAAATTGGAGACAATTTTGATACCTTATGATAGGGCACAAAAGCAATAATGGTAAAGTTAATTGTCATGGTTTTTTCTCATTGCTGGGACAATATACCCTATACCCAAAATCAGGAAAAAAAGGTTGCTTTAGCTCACTGTGTGTGGAGGTTTTGGTCTGCAATCAGCTGGCACCAAGGCAGGGTGGCATGGCACTGGGGCAACATTTCAAGGCAGCAGCCAGGGCAAAAAAGAGGACCAAGGCTCTTTTCCTCCCAGGCTACTTCTCCCTCTAGTGCTGGCATAAAATCTGTGCTCTCCTCTTGCGCCCTGTTGAGTCTCTCAGTTAAATTTCTAAACTCAAGTTGACACAATGTATCAATCATAGCAATCCACCCTGGTCAACTCCACAACCAGACATATTTCTTTAAACCAGCCTCCAGATACAAAGGCATATGTTGTAGTCAGGGTTTGTGAGAACAATTATAATGAAGACATAGAATTTATAATATTACTTTATGATGGTCACCCAGAGTCAAATACAAGAAAGCGCAGGAAATCTATCCACAGCACTAAAGACCCAGAATACGCAGCCAAGGGCCTGGATCCCATAACAATGTCCTGCATGAATCCAGATGAAGACCCAGAGCTCATGACATTGCCTCCCATGAGTCCAACTGCAGATCTAGAGTCCACGAGAAGGACTCACACCAGTCTGCTTTATGGATCTGCGGTGGGAAGCCCAAAGGTGAGCGGTGCAAGCTAGAAAGTCTGTGCCAGTGGGGTGAAGGAGCTGTGCTGGTAGGTTGAGGGTTCCACGCTGGAGCCAGGAAGTCAAGTTGACATTCAAGAAGTCACGCTCAAAACAAGGACCAGGGCTGTCCTGAAAAGCACCACAGCCATCCTCAGTGACACGGAGCTCCAGAGTGTTAGGTCCCCCCCATCTGAGAGACAGAACAATCATTATGGCAATGGCTCAAAGCTATGCCCTGAAAATGTGCACCTTCTTCTTCCCAGAAGCCACTATGGCTTCTCCCTCCCAAAAGTCTGCCAAAGCTCAGACAGGTAAAGGTTTCCCCAACCCCCTGCACTCCCACTAAATAAATCAGCTCACATCTGTCCCCAGAGTCCTACCCGTCAGAGCCTGTATCAGGCAGACCTGCCCTTTGTCTGCAGGGAGCCGCCACAGCCTACCTTGTGGTGAGTCCCTCAGTGCCCTCCCATTAAACTCTTTTCTTATCTACTTGCTGCCTCTCTTTAATATTCTGTGCTGCTCTAGATTGAGTGCAAATCACTCAATCACAGGAGCTCCTCCTCCAACCAGAACAGTGAGTACATGCCAGGAGGCCAGAGTGATGAGCTTCTCCTGGAGATTAAACAGCACACACCTACCCCCTCTGCAGCCAGGAAGCAATGCTTGATATGAGGACAAGAGCTCTCCTAAAGTGAACCTCAGCTGCTCTCACCAATAAGGTCCCGAGAGCTCCCCTAGTGACAATGGTCTAACTCACACGGGGGAAGCCAGTCATGACGAGCTCCTGCAGGAGAACCAACAGCTCAAACAGCAACACTTAGAGAAACCCACAACACCTAGTTTCTCCTACGTCTCTATGCTGGCAACTTTCCTCAGGTGGGCCATCTACGCTCAGCACTATGCTGACTTAATTCAGCTGGTGTTAAGTTGACCTCCAGTGGGTTTTTTGTTTGTTTGTTTTATTTTTGTTTTTTGGTCACAATGCCAGGACCTCACCTTGTGTTTGCCAAGCAGGCACTTATGCTGCTGAGCTAAACCCCCAGCGAGTTTTTAATCCATAGAGCATGCTTATTCTTATCATTTTGCAACTTGAACATTATAACACAGTTTAACAATCCTTAAGAACCAGCATTAAATCAACATTACATTATATTAGAAGCATAACATTCTGCCCCTGGCCCGGCAAAGACTCATGTACATCCTTTATGCAAAAGGCATTTAGTCCATCAACAAGAGTTGCCAAGTCCTAACAGTTTCAGCATTGCTGAAAAGTCCAAGTTCCACCTCTCCTCCAAGATGGAAGGTGAACTGTTAGCTGCACAGCCCTGCACAAATGAAAGCAAAGTCAATCTCTGTGCCCTCCTCTTGCACAGGCTGAGGATGTTTACAAAGTGAGGATCCTTACTCTGCTCCCTGCTGTCTCTCAGTTAAACTTCTAAACTTCTCAAGTTGACACAATGTATCAACTATAACAGTAACTTAGCTTGATGTGGTGGATGGTACCTGGAGTCCCAGCTAAGGAGCATGTCGAGACAGAAATTCAAGGCCACCCCCGGCAGCATAGCAAAACTGTAACTCAAGCCCCTGGTAAGCGGCTGTGGTGTGGCAGGCTGCAGCCACCTTATGGGGAGAACCACCAGTGTCTCCTGAGATCTGCAC